CGGTCCAACAGGCAGCCTGAACCCTGCCTTGCAATACTTAAGGGGAAGGCTTTCCCTCTAGGATTCCTTCCCCCAGAGATTATTGCCATACAAACCCGTTTACCTTACTTAACATTAGTGAGTGGGGTTTTAGCAGTACACTCTCCTCTTTCTCTTTACCTTTTATCTTGATCATTATTCTACTATCCTAGACTGCAGTTAATTCACTACTGTAGTCTAGAAGAGAGTCATTGTACCACTCTGAGCTCAGGCGCGGTGATGCTCATTTCACTGTCGTCCCCTCTAACCCAGGGAGCCAACCCCTCCGGTTCCTAGCGTCGAGGTGAGGTTTCATTTCTACTGGCCTTTACAGGCTATAGTAAGACCCATTACCCCATCAACGCCTGTTCACACAAGAGACCGGCGCTGACAGCAGCCCAACACACCCAAAAAAGGGAATGTTGGACCACCAATGATAAATTAAATTCTTCAGGGGAAGCATTGCCAGGGCGGGTGTAAGGCAGGTACCTGGGTACCTGCCTTTTTTTACCGCAAATGTTGACACCCGCACCTGCGTTTCCTGGTACCCACTTTGGAAAACAGGTACCCTCAAACGGGTACCCGCTGACATCTCTAGTTCCCATCCGCCAAGAAATTGGCGGGTGGGAACGTGGCGTGCAGGCCAACACGCCATTCATTTTTGGCGTGTTGGCTGGCACACCCTTTTTGAGGGAGGTGCCCAGCTAGAAAAGGGTGTGCATGCCCACACGCCAAAAACTGATGGTGTGCACACCCACACACCATTTTTCTTTTGGCATGCGGGAGTGCATGTGCAAGGGGGGGGGGAGTGTGATTATCACTCCTCCAATTAAAATCAATTACAAACTCATCATTACCTAAACTTCCAGTCTACATTCACAGAAATTGATATCCCTGCATCCTACTCAACAGCTGTATCAACAATCTCTCGGGGGGGGGGGAGGTTTTGGCCTCCCTTTGTGAGGTTCTGTCAGGCTTAGTGATGCCAAGAGCAGAACTATTCTAGCTAAACTAGCTGCAAAAGCAAAAATAGGATGTGTACACGTGTGGGTGACACGTGAAAAGTGGGGGAGGTGTGTGTAAATAAAAGTAAATAGTAAATAAAAACTGACAAGTTTTTATTTACAGAGGGGCCTGAGTTACAGGGGTTTTTAAGGTGCCCTATAATATCAGGTCCTGGGTTACAGGGGTGGTACTGATGTTCTGGTCCTTTGTAATAAAGGAGTATGCCCAGAAATAGCCTACAACTGAAGAAACAAAGAAATAATACTTACTAGTACTTATCTCTAAGCCAAGGAAGTCTCCAGGAGGGGGGAACTGTTCTTGAGGCACTCAGAAAGGTGGGTGAGAGATGTTGGAGGAGTGCTGGGGAACAGGTGTTGGTTGGTTGATGGAAATTCAGGTTGATATCAGCAGGAACAGGGCCAATGGGCAGTTGGTAACTGGTTGTTGGTGACGGTTTATGCTGGTAAGTGATGATGAAGATGGGGAATCAAAGTTCAGGGGGGAGAAGGGGCTCTTAAATACCCATTCTGGGCCTCTGGAGTCGAACTCAGGAGTCTCTCTAGTTGCTACAACTCTCCTACTAAGCCTATGGGAGCTTTTGATCATCTGTAGCACCTGTAGAGCTTGGTTACAGGTGTCAAGGAGATGATGTAAGGCTTGTACCCATGTTCACAGGGTGTTCTGACGAAACTGTAGCACTCCTGTAGCCTATGTCAGCACTGCATGATGCATGGGTTGATCCTCAAGAGAGTAATTGTCCCAATTGGGCCAGAAAGGGCCACAGATCATCCCAAACAATTTAATACTGTAGTCTGTGCTCATGTAGTTAAGGTTTCAATGATGTAAACCTTGTTTGTAGATTTTTCCCAAACTGCATGAGCCTTAATTACACATTTAGCCCCCTTACAACATGTAGTATGATGTAACTGGAGGGGTCTACAGTGTATTTTGGTCCAATATCACTCAAGGACTACAAAGTAAGTGAAGGAGTAATAATTCAGGGGTACACTTGGTGAGCTACCCTAGTTTATTTTGCATGTAGATTCAGAATCTGCAATAATATTCTGAGTTATACTTAAGGTTCAGAAGTTATTAGGAGATTCTGGTAAAAAAATGTTATTTTTCATTATTTATTTAATTACTTAAATGTTTTTCTCATGAAATATTACAACATAAGTGTACTGTTTAATAATTTATCTATTATAGTGCTTCCACCTATTTAAATAGTATTTTTTATTATTTTAATTGTATGTACATATGTAAGTAATAATGTCTCTAATTTATAAGTAAATGCTATGTTCAGGCTGGCTCTGATTAGTAGCAGGCTGACAGGTTCTATGGACCTAGGACAAGGCCAAAGCTGAGGTGGTGTAGTGCAGCTGAGCCTAGGCTAATGCTGAGGAGCTGCTAGGGGATATCTGTGTCCCTGAAACCTTTTCTTGTTGAGCCCAACTTGGATATTGATGAAAGAAAGCAAGCTTGACAAATTGATTGTCCAAGTCGCCACCTTGACTGAGGCCAAAATTCTCAACCAAACCATCCCGCGCAAGGTTTTCTGAGAAGAAATTTAAGCCACATCATATTACAAAGTTTTGCTGAGAGTTCTGCTACTTTGCTGTAAGCTTCAGCAAGCCGATCGAGGTATTCCCTAACCTTGCTCACTTCAAGTGCAATAAGGTAAATTGATCAGTTGATGTGTGCACATGGATAAAATGATGAACAATCCAATTGGACACACACCTGAAGATGCTTTGAGCAATTGGTTGAGCAACTGGTCACCATCATACCAGCCATTTAAATGTAATTCTTCATACTGATTGCAAAGTTGGGCCAAGTCCACATCCAAAGTCACCCCTTTGCGCTCTGTTGAGGAGCTCACAAGAAGTTCTTCTCCTGTGGCGATAGAATCTATGAGGTGTGTGTCAAGCATCCGTTTCTCTGATATTTTTTCTTGTTGAGCCCAACATGAATATTGATGAAAGAACGCAAGCTTGATAAATTGATTGTCCAAGTCCCCGCCTTCATCAAGATCAAAATTATCCACTAAACTTTCCTGGGGTGTGAGGTCGTCTGAGAAGAAATTGAAGCCACATCATATGCTGAAGCTCCGCTTGAAGTCCTCTTGCTTTCCTGAACGCTTCAGTTAGTCCATTGAGGTACTCCTTAACTTTTCTCACTTCAATTCTGATAAGTGAGATTGATAATCTGGTGCGTGCAGTGTGATAAAATGATGAACAATGTAATTGGAAACACACCCAAAGATGCTTTGAGCAATTGGTTGAGCAACTGGTCATCATCACGCAAGGCATTTGGAAGCAATTCTTCATACTGATTGCAAAGTAGGGCCAAGTCCTCATTTGATGCCACCCCTTTGCGCTCTGGTGAGGAATTCATGGTGGAAATCTGCAGGGAGGCAAGCTTTATAAGCGCTTGCACTATTGCAGATACAGTCTTGATCGATGAAAATCTCAGCAGGTGTACATACTAAACGATGGGAACACTTTGCAGTATGAAGTAAAAAGCCTGGTAAGCCGTTCTCTTTGTGAATAATGGGACTCGGGAAGCACTGGTAAATTGGTAAGTGGTGACGGTAATGCTTGATGATCTCAACAAGAGGAGGCTAGTGAAGCCGACAGGGCCTTATCAAACCGGTTCCTCTGTGGAGCAGACAGGCACTTTGCAGCAAATGGTCTGTTGGTAGTGAGGCGGCAAGGAAAAGACTAGGCTCTGTGATGTTTGCAATTGGATCAGACGATGGGATGTGAAAGCAGCCCTGGAGCCTGGAGTAGTACAAACGTGCATGGCAGGACGGGGAGGAAGAGGATGTGCGGGAACGGCTGGTGAGTCTTGGCCAAGGTGGACCGGCAGCACCCGAGCAGCATCTGGATCAAGAAGCTTGTGATCCGCAAGCACACCATGACCGCCTCGCGCAGCCCGGCCCAGCCTCAGAGCCTCACCTGGCATCCATTGTCCCAAGACCATGCGCAGGGTCAAGAAGCCTTCTCCACCCTCCGGCACGCCTCCATCAAAACAACCGTTCTCTCATCCATATCAACCGGTCACATGGTTATGTGATAGACTCAAGTGCTTCCAACTCTCCAATGATGGCCCAACTCCCAACCCGCATTCTGCCTTCAAGGAAATCAACTATATCCCTACTTCCACACCTGCTAAAACCAGCTGACATGGGCATCCCAACTGCTTCTTCATTTCTTCTCATTCATCCTCCCTTTTCTCCCTTCTTGTCTCAGTCTTTCTTTTTCTATCTCTTATGTAGCTCCTTTTTTGTGTCAAATGTCAAAAAGTGAAAGTGAAAAAATAAAGGGACTTGGTCAACCGACTCCCAAAAATTGGAGAGTCAACTCCCAAACCTGGTTTTCCCCAAAATTTGGGAGTTGATTCCCCAAATCCATCAGTGGGTTTTGGAGTTGGCCCCCCTGTTGCGTGTAACAAAGGATGAAGAACCAAAGTTCACGGCTGACAAGCCAGTGACACTTGGTGAGTGAGAAAAGTATGGTTTGATTCACTGGGGGAAGAAAACACTACAGTAGCAATCAGGTATAGGTTATATACATGATGGCTTGAGTTTTAGTTGAAGCATACTATGTACTGGATATAAGCATACTCCTATCCCAACACCCCCCAAAAAAAATTAAATAAAAAAAAAGAAAAACCCCAGAGGGGTTGGGTGTCAATGCCCCAAAACCAAGTGGTTTCCCCCAAAAAGAAATAAAAAAGAAAAAAA